TAACGGGTCGGAGATAAATCTTTTGCCATCAATTTCACGCAAACCATAGCTATAAAAATCACGATCGCTGCATTAATGAGGAAATGTACTGTATAAAATTATGTAGCGAAGAAAAAAAACAGTTTACTGTTGAAAAGAATAATCGCAGATAGTTCTCAGAAGAAGCACTGTCTCCGTTTCATTTAACCAATCATCAGGCATCATCATATCATGGACTTCCAGCAGAGTTTGATTAATCTGAAAAAAATTACGGGATAAAAATACATTTAGCTAAAAAATGGATAAAAATTTATATATATATTTTATAATTACATATACATTATACTTATTACACTATTTTAATGTAATGAGGAGATACAAAATGTATTTTTTATATATATGAGTCATTCCATGTTAACCCTGCCCAAAATTGTACGCAATCAAATGTAACTTATAGGATACCAAAATTTAGGTTGAAGCTTCTAATTTTCGATACCATGTGATGATTTTAGAAAATATCAAGTAATGACCTTGATTTTGTCTGTTAAATAGAAAAAGTAATATTTTTCATTATTCCAATCTCAACTGTTTTTTTTTTAAATAAAGTACAATACCCCTACAGCACAAAAGTTGCAGCAACAATGTTGCAACATTGCAGTAAAATTGCATGTTGCAGCAATATTGCAGCGTTATTGCAACGATATTGCTGCACGTTCTGTGCTGTATGGGTAGTCGTTTTCAATGTAATTTTGTACGCTAAATCCAAATCTGAAATTAAAATTAATCAATAATATTTGGATTGCGCGAAAAGTAATCAAAAAGAGCAACATTGCTGTTTTTCGTCATAATTGTATTCTTTCTGCAAATAAACATTTAGTTTTTATTAGTATATTCACTTCTGAAAGATGAAAGAGAGAGAGAGAGAGAGAGTAGAGTTACATTATTTTTAAGAACGTGCTCTTTCTTTTTCTTAATACGATATTTCTATGAAATTAATCAGTTATATATCACATAATTATACCATTTGTTAATATTGAGTTTTAACGGTTTGTCATGAAAAAGCTTTCTGCGTTTAAACGAGGTTTAAGAGAAAGACTGTCTCTGGATTGCTTTCCAAAGCCCGCATTACTTTTTATTTTCTTTTAATTTTTTTATTTTTTGTAACTTTTATTTTTTTGTAACTTTTTTGGTAATTTTTATTCTTTTAATTTGAATCATTTTTTATTTTTGTGTTATCTAATATTAAGTAATTCTTTTTTGTAACACGATCACTTTTTTATAATGAGTTACAAATCTTAATTAACAACATGCATTTATATCAGTAGGAAATAAAGATTTAATTATTGTGAGATTTTCGTTAAGTTCTGATGGTACAATTTTTTATTATTAAGATTTATAACTCATTATAGAAGCTTCAACCTAAATTTTGGTACCCTATACGTTACATTTGGTTGCGTACAGTTTTGAGCAGGGGGGGGGTGGTCGAGTTGACGTGGAATGACCTATATATAAAATAATAATAATAAATTTATGTATAATTTATATATTTAATTATTATACGAGTGGTATCAAAAATACAAGCCTTCTCGGCGACGGCCACGCACATGCTGCATCTGACACATGCGGAGGACAGGTCTACATGTATCGTGCCGCATGCATCTGCAATGCAGGTCCCGTAAGGAATTATCCGAATTACCCCAAAACCGGTGGATCTGCAGTCGCAATGGGGATCAACAGTAATATTTGCATCCGTCAAAGGGTTATAACGGACGGTGGTACCACAGACACATTCGTCATCGTTTCGATGGATGCGCGTTTTGCTGCGCTTGCTAAAGATACAGCCATTCGAGGCAAATGCGAGCGATAGCAGAATCAGCAGAGTCGCTTTCGCGGACATTGTCCTAATTCCATCATGTCTTCTCCGGGAAGACGAACTCAGAACAAACGGCTAAATTAAATGCACTACGAACGAAACGGAGCGAGAAAATAAAATCTAAATTGTGTGTTTCAGGTAGTCGAAAATTAAATTAGCAATTCTGATGCGTTACATGTATCATTCACGGACAGCTGAAGCACGAAAACATAATTTTTCAGTAAAAAAGTATACGCTGCATAAAAATTAATCTACACGTATATAAAATTTCTTACAGAAAATCAATACTCTTGAAATTGTTTTGTAAAGAATATTTAAAGATAATTAATTACGCAAATAATTTATCTCTCTCCTGAATTTATAATTAACTCAACACTAAGATAAATATCATAGAATTTCTTTACTACAGAAATATCTATTTTTACATTTATATTACAATAAATAATGTAATTATTAAATAAAATCAGTTAATTATACAGTAAGAAAGAGGATGCCTATATACGCTTTAAAAAAATACCCTATGTACAAATTTAGTGTGAATAAAAAAAATAAAACTATTAAATTAATTTAATTATTAACTATTAATTAAATATTAAATTAATAGAATTGTGTTTAATGCCGAAAAAAATTAAGAACAACGCGCATATTAGAAATTTTATCTTAAAGCAATTCTGCCGGTCGAGTTAACCGCCAATTTAAGTTAATTGAAATTTGATCAAAATCGTCCAAATTTTTACAAATGTAAATTAATTTTAATCTTAGTTTAACTTACTTTTTATCTTTTCCTAATTCTAAAAATTAAAAAAGGTGAAGAGTAAATTCAACCAAGATTAAAGTTAATCTACAGTAGTAGAAATGGACAATAAAGGAACTTGTGAGAATATTTTTTATATTCGCGGCAGTATTTAAACAAGAGCAGTGCAGCCAATACAAAGCCAGCAGCAGAGCAGTGCAGTCAACTCGTTAAAACGAATAACCTGTTCGTCATAACCTCCTCGACACTCCTCGATGATCAGTGTTTATGTATTCTCCGCATTTCGAAAGTTACAAAGAGGTTATCTTGACGTAACAACGATGCTGGCACGTCGGTTACTGTACAGGAAGCAATTGTGGCATGCCTCGTGCGTCTGCATGCCTATCCGTCACACGCAAAACCAGCGCGTCAGCCAACATGTACTGGACACGCTTAACCTCGAAATTCGGCTGCCGGCTCCCCTCGAGAAGCAGCCGCAACGCAAGCCGTTCGCCAAGAATCTGTTTCTCGCCGTGTTCGATCACGAGTTCATGTACTATCCCGAGCCGCAAACCAAGGACAGACATCAGAGTTTCTTTGAATGGCTCCAACCTATCGAGAAGTACATGTCGAAGTGTCTGGAGGATCCGCAAAGCGTCCGGAAGGAAGACATTCTGGCTCATCTAAAAGAGTTAGGTGTCTTTCGGGCGTGTATAGACGAGCAGCATCTCGGCCTGAACCTGAATCATTCAGAGTCGGCCAAGTTGGTGGAGGTACTCAGCTGCTTCCCTTGGCTGGGATGTTACATGGTCAAGAACAATATCCAGCCCGTTCAAATCATCTCTACGTTGGCCTCAGAAGAGCAGAAAGCCAAGTATCTACCAAGGATAGCGGCTGGAGAACTCATTCCCACAATATGTTTCACTGAGCCTGGAAACGGAATAAATGTACATAACATCATCAGTACAGCCGTAAACTCAGAAAGTGACGCACACTGGTCATTAAATGGCGAGAAGACGTTTGTAGTCAACGGGCACGACGCCAATCTATTTCTCGTCTTCTGTCACTGTGGCCATTGCCGTACGCTCAGTGATACCGAGGGTTTTCTATCTATACTTCTGGTGGAGCGTGATTTCGGAGGTGTTACAATCAAAGATTTTAAAAATCTAGTTGGTCTTCAAAACAGTCCGGTCAATACAGTTATTTTTAAAGATACCAAAGTTCCAAAAGAGAATCTTCTGGGTAATCTAAAATCTGGATCGAGTATACTGGTAGATGTACTCTCTCCTGGAAACAGAAATCTTGCTCCGCAAGCAGTAGGTACATTGAAGACATTTACAAAAATGTTGACGACGCATATATTGCAGAGGAAACATTTAGATAAAAACATGCACGAGTATGAAAGCGTTAAAGAGATAATAGGTAAGACGGCGAGTACTCTGTACAGCATGGAGAGTATGCTGTATTACACCACTGGCATAATGGACACATTTGAAAGTCAGGATTGCATGCTCGAGAAAGCCATGGTGGAGACATATTGTACTAGCGAGTGTGTCGCACGTATTTACGAAGGCCTGCAACTTATTGGAGCGCAGAGTTATCTGAGGGAGAATCCTTACATACGGATCTTCGAAGATGCATTGTCATATATCCTGTTTGATGGATATAATATCGAATGTAATACATATATAGCTCTACTTGGTATACAACACATGGGCAAAAATCTACGCGATCACATATTTAAGTTACGAAATCCCTATTTCTTTCCCGAGTATTTATTAAAGTGGATCATGGGTAAAGAATATCAAGTACAACTTAAACTTGCTGACCATTTGCATCCGTCTTTAGCGTCAAGTAGCGTACAACTGGAAAAGTGTATCACCAGATTGCACACCGTCGCGGTACTACTACTAGAACGTCATGGCATAGCTGTACCCGAACGACAAATGGAACTGCGTCGAGTTGGTGAATTAGTAACGAGAACATTCGCACTGATTACTGTCCTTGCGCGCGCTTCCAGGGCGTATTGCATCGGCTTGAGGAACCACAATCAGGATCGGCACTTGGCCAACAGCTTTGCAATTCTCTCCATAGACAGAGTGCAGACTCTTGCAGACGAGATTGTATCAGGAAAGTGGAACAATGGTGATACATTCAACAAAGAAGTTGCCGAACTTATGTACAGTAAAAAAGATTATTTCGCCGAACATCCGTTAAACAGAACCTATTAAACATTTGATAAATTTAGTTTATACACCGTACATATATGTGTGTATATAATAGAAAGGAAGAAAAAAACAAGTTATTCTTAAAACACATTTGCTTAATGTGACCACTGTATTTAAGTAGCACTCACTAGTAGTACGTTTTTGAATCTAAGATATTGATTTATCTGTATTTATAATTAGTTTCAATCAACCTACTGTTTTTTATGATATAATTAAGATAATCATTGTAAGTAAACTGTAAAAATGTACAATACATATGAATTCACTCCAAGAAGGAATACACGTCGTTTTCCATCGAGGTTTTTGTATTTATATGTCGGTAGCAATTGTACAGTTGTATCTTGCACTGTACTTATATACTAAGATCGAGATGAAAAGTAAAATGAATGCTCTTATTCTAGACTCTCTTCTATCAGACATTCCTAAAAATCTTTCTTTTTCAATTGCGAATCACATCGCTTAATGTAGCTCGAGATACATATCTCTGCAACGCCTTTACTATTATCAACCATCGCTCGCTACATAGGACTTTTGATGTGTACATGAAGAGGTGGACGGTATTCTTCTACAGACGTAACATGACTAGTCGTCCTAGACGTAAATATGAAATTCTATATAGTATAGGATCACTGGAAGAACCTTAGCTTCACTCGTAACTTTTCTTATTAATATTTTACAACTATAGTCTTTCAGCTTGAACAACGACATGCTCTTCTCGATATGAATCGGTCGCAGACCAACAGCTTCTAACGCAAGTGTATATTAAAACAGTGCCGAACTCGATCTGGAAATTCCGATCGCTTCTTGGATTTAATATTAACTTTGGTATGATCGTCGGTAAAACTTGCAACTCAAAAGTCATCTCATCGCCGCAATGCCGACATTTACCGATACAACCGCTTAGCGGATATAACAGTAATGGTGCAGAATTTTCCCTTGAATAGCTAAAAAATAAAGTCATCATATACCTATATAAGAATAAAACAAATAGAAAAAATATATATATATTCACACACACACACTTTATTTTACACACACTCACACACGCGCGTGTATAAAATGGAGAATAAAACATCGTTAAAGATTTTACCGTAACAGCTGTCCAGGATTTCTCTGTATTCTGCAAAGGAAGTTGTGAAACATCTCATCACCGTGTTTAGGAATGCTTTTCTCGTACTTTTCCACGTCTGTTTCAATGGTTTTAGGATTGCCGGAATCTGGCGTAAACTTGGTCGATGCATCCGGATTGCTATGCTGATATTCAACCACTAAGTCTCGAACGTGTTGAGACACATCTATGCTGCAATCCTCCTCGTCGACCGAGAGAAATATTTCGACGAATGAACACTTGGTTTCCGCGTTCGTAATTTGTAGTGGCAACGGAGTTACTTCGTGCAGTAAACTAATTAAATCACATTGTGGTCGCGTTGGAGTATCAATGCATACGACTTCGCTTTCATCTCCATCAATTTCTGCTGAAGCTTGAGGAGAATCTAAACGACCTACAGCACCTCCGCTAACTGGGGAGTCTACGCTTGCTGGACTGAAACATTCGAAAAAGAGTATACATATAGCTATTATTCATAAATAAAATCGATTTTAATATACGAACCTATTTGCATTTGGATCATCCACGCGCAGTACAGACAATTCCTCTCGTATATCCTGGTCTATTTCTTTACGCAGAGAAAAATGAAATTGTAACGGATCATTTTCTAACATGTTATTCCCATTTTGTTCCGATGCATTATCATTTACACTATCTCCCCAATCGTCTGCATCTGACAACCAAGCTGTCGTAGATGGTACATTAACGCTTCCAGAATCCGGTGTAGTCTTAGCTTCATCCTCTAAATACTGTATTCTCAAGCATGTCCAGCTTTCATTTTGATTCCAGCAATTTGAGTTGATACATGCAAATATATATAAAGTCCGATGGTACTTTGAATTATCTAACGGAGCATACAATTGGAGTGCCAAGAGCTGATATAAGCCACAGAGTCTGCATTGTGGCGATGATAATGTATTCTTCCCATAACAGTTCTAGGAAACAAACATTACATATTATATATTATAATTATTACTTGCATAATATACGTCGAGCAAAATAAAGACTTATTAAATAAAATATTAATGGCATTGTATAAACTATAATTAACATTCGAGAAATGTATATTAAATAATATTTTTCCATGACAGAATATTTCCTATATCATATATATAATTTTATTCATGTATATAATATAATATTTCATGTATTATATTTGTATAAATATCATGCTTTATTAAATCGTAATATTCTGCTAAATGATATCGCAAATCGACCTAATAAAATATTAATCGCGACGGGGGAAAACGGGTGATTTCTGGAAGGTGAGTCTATCGTTCCCTACTCACTGGATGCCCGCCGATCTTGTTCGTCGTAAAGTTGAGCAAGGATCGGTGCTTGTCGGTAACGTACTCGTCCTCGTATCCCAGATATACCTTCGTACAATTGTCGCAAGCCATTTAAGTCATTCGATCGTAGCTCTACATTCTCTTTCCCGTTTTACTTACGACCGGGACAGCTGACACGCATCAGTAACGCTCGACGCGTGCGCCTTTGTCGATTCGCGCGTCTCCCTTATCGATTTTTTTGAGGCTGCCAGCCAGCAGTCGGACATCACTAAAATATTCTCGCTTCCTTATGACTTGAAAGAAACCAACGTTCTCTTATTATTCTGTCTTGGGACAGACATTGCGTCAATCTGGGGTATCCTGGGATACGTGCACGTGTCATAATAAAAAAAAACCTGTTTCTCCTAACTTTGCACCTCCTGTAGTTAAAGCGAAATAGATATAGATTCGGATAACGAAGATAAAAAGAGAGAAGAGAAACGCAGTGCAGCAAGCGCAGTTCAAACAAAGTACAGATCTATAGTTAGCTTTTTCTCTACACATTTGTATTTAACATTTCCTTTTTTTTAAGAGAATAATAAAAAAGAGGATAATAAATTTACATACGTTTTGCGAAAATAAAGAATATATATATATTTAGGTTGGCATTTCTCTGCATTTGCAATATTCTCTCTCTCTCTCTCTCTCTCTCTCTCTCCCCCCTCTCTGTCAGAAAGAAGGAAAAATGCATATCAAATTAGTACAAACAGTAATTTTTATTTTATAAATTCATTAAGTAAAAAAAATGAAAATTACCAATATGTTTGCTTATCGCTAAATATCATTTTTAGTATTTTCTGACTAATCAGTCTCATGGTATGAGTAGGCACTACAGACGTGTATAAAACGCAAAGTATATTGTCACCATGTTTCACAGCATGACATTTGTGATATTCGGAACACAAGTACGTTTCCTTAGCCCCGACAAATTTCCAGGTACTCGTGGTTAATTTTTCATCGTTACTCTCTTCGTGTTCGATTGACAGCGCGAATGTTTCGACCGCTTGATGATAAAACGTTCGCAAAATATCTAATCTGTGCGATCCCGTCACGCGATTTTTCGCGCATTGAGAGTTTCTGCCAAGTACGAATTTTTCTATCTTGTAATTTGCCAGCAAAAATCTGAAATATTCATAGAACGTTATAATAATCAATCACATAAAATAGTTGTACAGATAAATAACTTTCTTTATTCCAGTTACCCAAGTGTTTCATTATCTAAAGAGACCGACGTAGGTAGGTTTCGTGGGTAACAATGTTCAACAGTGCATAGTGCATCCATATTGCTCTTCCAGCATTGCATAGCGTATCTCTCAATTTCTGTTAATTCTGGATTTGGTCCACATAATGCCAGCACTTCTACGTGATTAATTAGAGTTACAGATACCAATCTGAAAGCTACCTAAACAAGATGTCATAAATTGAAGTTATAGTTAAAGTAATGTACATAATTATTCACATATACTTTTAAATTTATTTTTTAATTTTAGAAAATATGCACACATTTCTTTAAAAATACTTACGTTTGAACTTTTACGAGGTAAAAATACTGGAATGTCTCGCGTGGTACAAATACTCTCCGAAGCAATACCTATTGTTAATAATTTTCTTTCCACAGGATCCAATGACCACCAGCCTTCTGTAGCAGCTGCTACACAACCATGCACCAAAACACATCCATACATCGAGTCCAAACATTCCATAAATCCTTCTAAACAGGTCTTGAATACGTATTTATTGAGTATCACATGTAATTTTGCTGTAGCTGCAGTTTCAAACTAATTGTCTGAATAGTACACCATTACATCGATGATTTTTTTCAAACTGTTATCCGGATGCAAAAAATTGTAGTTTTATGCACGCATTGTTGCATCGATAGTTTATATTTGAATAATTGTGAAACTATCAGTGCCAGCGTAATGCATGTAAATGAAAAAAATGTTTCAAATAAAAGTTATAGAGTTTGAAGAGGGCCATTAGATGACTTACTTCAATATTGGGTCTTAGGCTTACTTTGGATTCAACAAGTCTTGCCTTCACTGGTCGGAATGTTTCAAAATAAGAACTTTTAGCGCTATTTTTGGAGAAGGTTCAGCGAAAAGTTACCACAAAAAATTTTCTTATTTTTTCTAATAAAATACGAATCTGCAATAAAATATAGGCGTTTCCATCGAAAAAAATTAATCCTTATTGAACCCAAAGTGGATACAAAATCTAAGTAGCTCGTCTGCCCTCTTCAAAATCCTACAACTTTTATTTGAAACATTTTTTTCAGAAATGCATTGTTTTCGAAATGTTTTAGTGTCTAAAATAAGACGCCTTGTATATTAGTGAACTGTCCAAACAATTAGTTTCATGACTGTAGGATAAGATGGCATAATTTCAAATATGGTGTAATTCTGAACAAAATAAAATTTGAATTCAATTTTCAAAATTCAAGTTTGATAACCCTTTTATTTGGTGCATCCAGAAGTACGACCGCTCACTGAGTTCAGCGAGCTCTTGTACCTGTTTGGTTTATATTTTTAGATCTGATGGAATATGCCAATCAGATGTACCCATTATGTGAAGAGTACTGAAGGATACTGAACAGAAAAAAACCCACTTGAACTTTGAAAATCAGGTTCAAATCGTGTGTAGTTCAGGATTATACCATGTTCAAAATTGCACCATCTTACTCTACGCAAGAAAATCTTAGTACCTGAAGCAAATGATTTTCTGAAGATATGATACATTCTGTCATGTTAATCATATCGGTTTTCATAGAAATTTTATCCCCTATGTCCAAGCAGTCCATCAGTCTATCGATAATAGGACTGCAAAGACGCATGTCTTTCTTGAGTCTTTCTATATTCTTAGTATTCTTTATCTCATCAATACCAGTGAAGAGAATCATTGCGCCAAAAGTGGCATCCAAAAACTTATCCAGCACATATTTTGTTACTCCACTCGCAATTGCTATGAGTATGATACACCGCTCGAATTCTTTCCATGCCACTGTCACGTCCGGCAAATCCGTGCTCAGTAGAGTGATGTCCTGTGATTTCAAGAACATGTGAACTCCATTGAGGGATGCGATTTTTGAAAACGTCATCTGCAAATTATTACCAAGTCTAAGACATCTAAATAAAATAAAATAAAATGAAGGCTTACAAAGCAAAAAAAGATAAAAGTAAAAGCGCCAAAATGCGCAAAGAAGATGTAAGTATAAATATAATTTATTCACTCATGAACGAGTATAGTTGAAACTAGGGATGCACCGGATATCCGAAAAGTATCTGGTATCCGGTATTATCCGGTTGAAATTTTATATCATTAAATTATTGATTCTTTATTATAGAATGTTCTATAAATAAGTATGCATACTCATAATGCTATATCTTATATATTGTTGCAAAATTACAATTTTTTCTCTACAGTTATCATCTGTATTGGTCACAGTCTTTCCTCTTTGCTCCCTTTTTTCTTTTCTTACTGAGCTTTTTTTTAGAGGATATTGTTCCGGAATCCAAATGGATATCCAGCTCAAAAAATTGCCTTCCCGGATTCCGCCTGAATATCAGATATCCAATATTACATTCTTTTCTGATATCCAGTAATTTTACGATCCGGTGATCCCTAAAAGTACCATTGTCTATCGTTCATGAGTGAATAGATTTACATTTACGAATATTATAATATTATTTATTCACTCATGAACGAGTATAGTTGAAACTAGGGATGCACCGGATATCCGAAAAGTATCTGGTATCCGGTATTATCCGGTTGAAATTTTATATCATTAAATTATTGATTCTTTATTATAGAATGTTCTATAAATAAGTATGCATACTCATAATGCTATATCTTATATATTGTTGCAAAATTACAATTTTTTCTCTACAGTTATCATCTGTATTGGTCACAGTCTTTCCTCTTTGCTCCCTTTTTTCTTTTCTTACTGAGCTTTTTTTTAGAGGATATTGTTCCGGAATCCAAATGGATATCCAGCTCAAAAAATTGAATAATATTATAATATTATTTATTCTCTATGTGCATACCGTATCACTGTCTCCCTTATGGCGTGAAAACAGAGGAATTCCTCCAGAAGAAGTCAAGCACATAACGTGTGCCGACATTTTCACTCAGGTATAAAATCGTGTTACTGTAAGCTTATTGTTTTCTAGTACTTTAAAGCCTATTCTACAATGTGCTTTTTGTTTCCTGTTTCTTGCTTTTTGCTATTTTTTGTGTCTTGCCTTTTTGCCTCTTATCCCGTTTTTCGTTTTCTGTTGCTCAAGATAAATGTTAACGAACTTCAGAAGAAACAGAAAACACATATCAAGAAATATAATTGTCGATAAAACGATCACAAAGAGGAAAAAAGCAAAAGATAAAAAACAAGAAACAGGAAACAAAGAGCATATTGTAGAACAACCATAAGACTACAAAGATCAATGTTCTAGACTTAAAAATCAACGATACTCCAATCAGCGATTATGTATTCTGTCGTGGTGTCCAGCAGAAAATATTTTATATAATTAATATCGTTATATTTTGAATAAGTGAGACTCTTTATTTTTTCTAATTCTATGATCTTTTCATATTTTTATTGGCAAATTACAAGATAGAAAGATTTGCATTTGGCAAGAGCTCTTAATGCACAAAAAATTGAGGCTACATATTGGTATTGTAAGAATTTTCGTGACATTACTTAGAACTGAGTCTGACAGTTTATTAGCTGTTTGATGAAAAGGTTTATGGCTTCTTTCCATAGTTTAAAAAAATTCAGGTTCAATTCACCTGAGTACCTATCACGAAAATGTTCGGAATGGATTCTGATCAGAATTATTCAATTATTCTCTAGATTTCTATTGTATTGTTTAGGGAAAACAGAATAGTTCCAATCAGAATTTATTCCAACACGTTCCATAATTATGATGACTATATGTCCTTTATTTTAGGTAGTTGTCCTTTAGATTTGTTTCTTCAAAATTCAATTTTGTCCTTTATTTTTCAATATTGTCCTTTATTTTGATATTATGGGAAATTCTTTTCTAATTAGCATTCCAACGTCTATAATATTATATCAATGAGCAAATTTTACAGGAAATA